AAATTACCAGGATGGAAAACGTATTTAACACTTAGACTGCCGCCATAGTGAAAAAAAGAGGGTCCTTCCAGCCGGACATATTTCTATCCCATATAAATAACATACAAGTGAGAATCAAAAGCTGATTCTCGCGGCAACAGAATCAAATTGGCCGTGCATCATGGCATGCTTCTCATGGCAGTCAAAGTGTTAATTCGAAGAGATATGCCTAAAAAAGTTTTTTTAGTGATTTTGGAAATTGTTTTGTTATAAGTTATCTGTTAAAAACAGTTTCTGGCCCACTTGAAAAATTAAAAAAAAAAAATACATTTAACTTAAAAAAATATATAGAATCGAATAAAAAAGGTTTGGTGCATCACAAATGCAAAAAAGATTTAGTTGGTATATTGTTTTTAAGTGTCTTTAGGGGTAAACTACCCACCTTTAAGAAGAAGGGAGATTGCCAAATCATGTTTTAAAAAAATACTAAAGAAATTAATATATGAATGGAGTTTATCTTAATGATAATGTTTTAAGCAATAAATATAAAACTACCTTAGGGCTGAAGTAAAAAAACATATATCTTTAGAAAATGGTATTAAAATTCATATTTTTCATTGTAAGTTTCTTAATTTGAATTTGGCGCCACATATTGTTCCTTGAAGCACATGTCTAATTGTTTATGTAAGAACTATGTTAAATTGATAACCTGGCAATTAGTTGAACTTCAAAGTTTGTGTTTTGAGGATGTTTAGAAAATAGATGCTTCACTAGATAAATCTTATTAAATTTCTTGTAAAGTTAGTCATTGAAAAAAATAAATCTGGTTATATTGTTTTCTAAGGATTAATTGACAAGATAGATTGTATGGTTTATTTATATTTTACTTTCTGCAACGTTATCAGTCATCAAAAAAATTTGTTCACAGATGTGTACATTAGGTTTTAATACTATATTTGAAAATGTTTTCTGAAATTTTATTCGAAATAAATCTACCTTTTTTTTTTTTTTTTTAAAATATTTAGATGCTGTAGAATCTTTTTTGTATTACTTTTTCTAGAATAAACACTATTTAGTGAAAAATGTTTTTTTTTATTATTTTATTTTTAATACAGTGTTGTACGAACCCGACAGTCACATATGTGTACATATTTCTTTATATCTAAGAAAAAAAAAAGAAGCTTGGTAAAAATTGTTTCGATAACATTTGGAAGTCATTCAGATCAGAAATTAATAAAATAACTCTGATTAATTTTGCAATGGGTCTGACGAGGATATAAAGTAAATTTTACTTACCAGTTACCAAAAGTAGACCAGAGTACAGTTGTTTAAGGAATACAACCCTCTTTCCTTTGTGAGAACCAGCTAACAGGATGAGAACTGTTCCAGGAGTGATTGTATTTCTAATAGACCTCTTGTGCTGGCTAAATGATGTCCTAGCTGGCCTGGCCTTAATTCTTAAAATTTTAAAAATGTTTAAATTATGTTGAATGTATATTTTTTTCTAGTGTATATGTTATGGTTAAAACGCAAATATTGGATAATACTAAAATTAAAAATAAATTAAAATAAATCTTAAAGGTGATGTTCATTGCACTAAACTAATATTTAAAAGTAGATTATGTTCCAAATAAATCAAGAAGTTATCAATTTCCTTTGCCTTTTATCTTGCCAATTTGGATAATATGCCAGTATCTATCCAGGTAAAATTGTTCTTACCCAATTTTGGGATTTACCTGTAACATAATATATATACTACATATAGAAAGACAAGCCTCTGTGCAAAAAATCTGTCAAGAACAAATGGTAACAGTTTGATTGTAATGATGTTATACTAAAGAATGAAAGAAGTATTAATATTCGCAAAAATCAAAATCACATTGTTAAATGTGTGCTTCTAAGGACATGTGTCTATCACATATTTATATAGTACTATTGCAACAATAAGCCAAAACAGTTTAAAAATTAACTGATTGTGGGACATCTTGATTATTTAGTTGTTGTCGGTATTGAATGTCTTTTTCAAGTTTTTTTTATGATCAGTTGAAGGTATAAAAATTATTTTTTTCTTGCATTAATGATATGTCACTTTTTCTAATTTTTTCTAATGGTGAGCATAGATTATCATGAATATGTATAATACAGCAAGGGTGGATAATATAAACAATACAACTAAAAACTACAAATGGCAATATTATCGGAATAAGAAATACCAAAGAAAATGTAGTGCCAGAAGTTAACAGCTCTTGGTAGATGTCAAATATTGTAAAATATATTATATATAATTTCGGCAATGATTGAAAATTATGCAATATTTATTGTGACAATCAGCTCAAAAATTCAAAGTACAAAATACTTATTACTATTAACAGTTAAGTCTAGGTAATGTTCAGAATGAAGTTAGCTACAAAAAAACTTCAGTAAAACAAATTTGCATTTGTGGTATTGCCATGTTCTTATTATGTATGTTTTGTGCCTCAAAGATACTGAGAAGGTTAGAAACAGAATCTAGTCTTTTATTTTTTTTTAATTTATATAAAACACGAACAAATAAATGTTTCGATATTAGTTGCAGTTAGTTATTAGAAGATATTTTTTCTTTGATATATTAATGGATAAATTAGGCAAGTCTCATACCTTCAAAAAACTAGATGCCAGATCACAACATATTCAGCAGATATCAATTTTATGAACATCAGATCTGCAGTCATTAAAATAAATATTTTTTCAAATTTACATTGTAGAGATTAAACTATCATTATTGACAATTTAATCCCTAAAATGTGAATTTGTAGTAAATCATATTTATTTTCGTGACAGCTGCCATTCAGGTGGTTGAAACGTTACACTGAATAATTTTGTGAAGGAATGTGGCTTATTTTCGTGTAGGTAATAAAATAAAATATATATTAAAATCTTTACAGCAGAATTTAACTTCTCATTCACTTTCTAACTTTAGTATTTATAGTGAAATGTTTAATTAAATGAATATAATATTGCATGCTCTTTCCTGATTTATTATAGGGACAAGTCACCCCAAATACAAAATTTCCTTTATTCAGAAGGTTTTGTAGACTTTAGCCCTATTACCTATTAGACAAAGATTTATCTGATTAAAAACTCTTGCCAGCCAGCTTTATTAACACTGGGACTTCTTCAATATTGGTGCAATGAACATAACCTGGCATCCAGCTATATGTTTGTGTGACACAGTGTTGCCACTTTTTTTGTATAAAGTATAGGAGTGTTTAAAATAGAAAGATACTTTGACGAAATTATATATGCTTTAAAAAACTTATACAGAAGTAAAATGCTTCACATTTGTATTTAGGTATATACTTAGGTAAATGTGAAGTGTTTTACTTCTGTAAAATGTAAAAATGTACACGCCACAGCCACAATTTTTGAATTCATATTAAAAAGCATTCATAAAATAGTATTTTTTATTTTAAATATAGCTAAATACTTTTGTTTAACCTAATTTTTTTTTCATTTAACTTTACTTTATTCTGTAATTTATAAAGTTTCTAAACTATTAATTTTTAAGCATAATTTTAATGGTTTTTATTATATAAGTATTTTTAAATGTAGAAATGCAAGATATAATTTTATTTTATAATATTTATAGGTATAATTTTAATGAATTATATACCTATGTATAGGTAAAAATATATATTTTTTCACATTTTTGTTTAATTATATATGTATTTTTCAATTTTACATTTCATTTCATATAATATAAATCTTGCCAATAATTTTATATGTGAGAGTGGGAAATATTTGAGTATATGGCAACACTGACGTATATTAAGCTTACATTTAATGTCAAACATATCAACGAGGTTATGTTCATTGCACCAATATTGAAGAAGTCCTAACACTGTTTGCTAAAATACAGAAACTAGTTTGGAAATAAAATATCTACATTTTTATTTAATTCAACATGTTTATGAACAAAATTAAGGCTTAAGGTTTTGTGATAAATTGACATTTTAATCATAGCAGTTCAAATATCATAAATTATAACTTACTTGTCTTGGGTAGGATAGGATGCCCTACGTTTCTTGACCAAAACAAATCTCTTTCCTCCATTCTTCTCTCCACCAATAGGTTTTTCAATAACTTGGGGCTTTTGAGGTTTCTTGGTAGCCTCTACCTTCTTGCCAACAAATTTGTACAATGCTTTTTTGTGGAACATTTTAGACCTAGAAAACCGGAGTACTCCATTTCCCAAATCATAGTTTCTAGGTTTTCCTGGTTTGTGCACCTTTTTGGGTGCATCCCCAGCGGGCTTCTGTACAGCCTTTTTCTCAACCATCTGAAAAAATCAGTAAGTATTAATATTGAATTGAACAGCGTGTAAATAAATTTTAAGGTTATGTTTTAAAACTTTTTGATCTCGAGTTAGTTGAACACTAAATAAAGCGAAACGTCAATTGCAAAAATGTTAAAATTTTTATAATACATTGAATGTTGAAAAAACATTTTTGTAAATTTATTGAAGTTTAAGGAAGACAGCAACAAACCGATGATCATAAATTTTGTCAATAACAACACTAACTTCAACAAATATATCACTTAAAACTAATTATACGAACTGCCAGATACTTTTTTCCTTTTTCAAAATTACTTTTTAGTCAAAGATGATTTAAATATTTAAGAATTATTAAAACTCTTCTCCATTAGCACTCACCTTTCAGGATGTCAAATATAAAAGGTGGACAATCGCATGCGTGTCAGTGTTGTCTTCTTGCAAAAATAAAGATGGTGAAGTTGGGCGGGTGATTTAAATTTTAAATTGTACAATAAAATAAAATGTTTTAACTTAAAGCTGAATTTGAATTTATGATTACATTTTTTAAAAATATGTTAAAACTGTTTATTTAAAAATGGTGTTAAACAATATATGCCCCAACATTGGAACAAGTTAAAGAAAAATATTTGAATCTGGTACGAGTATGTATATGTTGGTATGACTGTCAAGTTCCCTAAATCCTAAATTTGACAAGTATTTGTTGATATGATAATAAAAGGTGAGGTTAAGAAATAAAATATTTTTAAGTTGTTTAAATATAAATATATTATTTTGAATATTATTAAAACCAGTTAAAAATGAGTGAATCAGAAGTTATAGCTAAAAGTTCATCAAATGAGTCAGACAAGGACTCAGACCAGGATTTATCAGAAGATTCGCACAAAAGACACAAACATTTACAAAACAATGATTTTGAAGAAAAAAAAGGTAAAAAGCGAATAAATAAAGAAGCAGACGAATCTGATGAAGATGTTACTATCGGGCCTGCCCTACCAGAGGCTGAAAAGCCCAAAAAACGTAAAGTCTTACCACATGAACAACTCTATTTGGACAGTTTACCCTCTGCAGAATCATATGAGAGAAGCTACATGCACAGAGACGTGATTACGCATATTGTGGTAACTTGTACAGATTTTATCATCACAGCTAGTTGTGACGGTCATATAAAATTTTGGAAAAAAATGGAAAATGGTATAGAGTTTGTCAAACACTTTAGAAGTCATTTAGGACCCATTGTGAAAATAGCCTGCAATTGTGAAGGAACATTGCTTTGTTCAGCATCTGTTGACAGATCACTTAAGATTTTTGATGTAGTAAATTTTGATATGATCAACATGATTAGGTATTTATAAATATTTTTATATTTTTCCTAAATATTTGATTTGGGTCTTGTTTATCTAGAATTTATTCTAGCCTAAGATACTACATGTTACTAGTAAAAGTTGAATTATTACTCTGAACAGTGGGATAGTTATTAATATTATACCTACTTTAAAAATTAATAAGAATATTAAGTTTCTTCTTCCTGTTCCTCTCCTATCAAAGATTTGATATCATCAATGCTATTTGAACTTTGTTTGCTGATGTTCTAAACAGTTCATTTATGGTGCAACCAAACCATTCTCCTAGATTTCTTATCCAAGACACTCTTATGTGGCCTGGATTCGTTAATCCTTCAATATTTCTCTATATTAGATAGCCAAGTATTCCAATGTTCTCCTTTTTATGATAAGTATTACTTCAGGCTGCTTGTTCTTTTGCTGTAACACCTCTTCATTTGAGACTCAGTAGTCCTAACTTATTCTTAATATTGATCTATATTGTTTGATGGCATCACATCTTGTAAACTTTTTTTAATGCTTTTCCCTGCTTTCACGCCATACAAAAAGGTACTTAACACATATATTCTTAACAAAATAGACCTAGCAAGTTCAATAC